CCCAAACAACTAATGAAGAAGCGTGCGCGATAGTGGAAACCGGCCTCATCCACGAAAAGCCAAGTACGTTCCGCATCCTGCCAATGCGCAGACTTAATTCGAGTATTGAACTGAATATCTTTGTACAAGTCGTGTTTTTCGCAAACCCGCTCGATATACTCGAGAGTATCCGGCTGTGCGGAGAAGGTGTCTTTCCAGTTCCATTCCTGTAAGAGTTCTTTATCCCATGAAAATTGATAGGAAATGGTTTCAGAGTCAAATCGGGCACCTGGGTAGCGATTCCAAAACCAGGTACCTCCTACGCCTTCTCCAGCTTCGAGGACTTTGACGCTCAAGGAGGGAAGATTCTTTCGAACCTCGTGTAAACTGTAGATGCCCGAGAGGCCGGCACCAATTATCAACACATCGTAGTTTTGCTCTCGTGCCCCGATGGAACCCATTTTTGCTGAGTATGATTGACTGATGTCCTTGTAGAAGATGGTGAGTTGCCAGATGGCCAGTTAGTGCGGGGTCTATATGTCATCTTTTATACTGTGGACTCTACCTATACCCCTGGTCCACAGTGAGCATCGTGATCATGTGGCAGACAACTTCGAGTAGGCATTTCTTGCACAAGATAGTATCTCCTTCACTTTCCATCTGACCTTGGTGGGGGAAAGTGGAGAAAAGATCCGACACCAGCTCTAAGGGCGCATATTCGCCAAAAGAGGAAGGGCAACGCAGTCACGGGATGCGGAGACTTTCCCAACGCAGCTTAACTTTTGATTGGCCACTCAGCAATTCAACGATACAGCGTTGATATGAGAGTAGGGAAGGTCTTTGAAGTCATACCCTATCAAACAACAATATTGCCAGCAATAAGAATGCTGCCTCATGATAAGCCACGTCTCGTATCAGTTCAAGGACGAGGGTTAGTATCATGCCCAGACTAGTAGATTAGATTTAAATCACGGCGTAGCCCAGTTCTGAGTCGAACATTCTTCTGTAGATTCTTTTACACCGATTTCCCCTTTTATCATCTCTTCACTAGAGTTATTGTATGCATCCCTCACAATGATTGAGGCCGCTGATCCACCACACTCTACTGAGGACAATGCTGGGAAGAAAGACGCCCTTGATCTCGGAAAAGTTGAAAGTTGCTCGGCTGGCCAGCAATTCCAGTATGCTGAACGGGCTGGAACCAAAAGAAACATCAAGTCTCGCCATGCCCAAATGATGGCCATCGGCGGTGCCATTGGCACGGGCTTCTTTGTTGGTGCTGGCCAGGCGCTTGCAATTGGGGGACCAGGCTTCCTCCTACTTGCCTATGGACTTATGTCCCTTCTTGTTTACGGCGTATTCACTGCAGTGATTGAGATGAGCACGTACCTTCCCATCCCCGGGTCCTCGATTGCATACTACTGTAGCCGCTACGTCTCATCATCCCTTGGCTTTGCCTTGGGCTGGCTCTACTTCTACTCATTTGGTATCATCGTCGCATACGAAATCACCGCTGCCAGCCTTGTGATTAACTACTGGCCAAACAATGTTCATATCGCCGTATGGGTTACCGTCCTTTTGGCCGTCATCGTAGGCCTCAACCTATGTCCAGTGGGTGTCTACGCAGAGGCCGAATTCTGGTTTGCAGGCATCAAAGTAATCATGATAATCGGGATGATCATCTTATCCCTCGTCATCATGCTCGGCGGAGCACCCACTCATGACCGACTTGGGTTCCGGTATTGGAATGACCCTGGCGCAACGAATGCTTATATAGTCACTGGAAGCGGCGGCCGCTTCACCTCCTTTCTTTACGTCTGGGTCTGGTCCGGCTTTTCCTTCTTCTTCGGACCAGAGCTGATGGTATTCACGGGTGGAGAAATGCGGAATCCACGCAAGAACCTCCCTAAAGCATCTCGCCGCTACTTCGGTCGCCTCGTCGTCTTCTACATCCTCGGCACTCTCTCCATGGGTGTAACCTGTCCCTCAAACGCCGAAGGCCTCACATCCAACACCGGTGACGCCAACGCATCCCCATGGGTCATCGCAATCCGCAACGCCGGCATCACCGCCCTCCCCTCCATCATCAACGCCTGCATCCTCACCAGCGCCTGGTCCGCCGGTAACGCCTACCTATACATGTCGAGCCGAGCGCTCTACTCCCTCGCCGTGGCAGGCAACGCACCCAAGATCTTCACCCGCTGCAACAGCTACGGCTTACCCATCTACGCCGTCCTGGGCAGTAGCTGCTTCACCCTGCTAGCTTACCTCAATGCCGGCTCCCAGGCAGGCGAGGTCTTCAACTGGTTCGTCAGTCTCACCAATACATCAGGATATACCTCCTGGCTCACGTGCTGTATCATCTTCCTTCGGTTCCGGAAGGCCTGCGATGCCCAGGGTATCGTTATGCCTTATCGTTCACATATCCAGCCTGTTGCGGCGTGGGTTTGTCTCTTTGTTTTTACGGTGCTGTTGTTGTGTAATGGGTTTACTGTTTTCTTTCCCGGTCGATTTTCGGCCAGTGGGTTTTTGACGGCTTATCTTGGGATTCCTCTTTTCTTGGCTATTTATTTTGGACATAAGTTGACAGTGGGCCGGAAGGACCCTTGGGTATATAACCCAGAAGATGTGGATTTGAGATCTGGTATTGACGAAGTTAATGCTGAGGCTGAGACGTGGGCTAGAATGGATGCTATTAAGAAGGAGAAGAAAGGCACGCCGAATGTGTTCTGGAGGAAGATCTCTTTGATATGGTCGTGACTTTGTGGGGAAGCAGCTCCTTGACGTTATATTTATGTAAGCACTTAATTTACTACTTTTATTCTGTATAATGAGCTATGAGATCAACGGATGGATGTGCAATTCTGTGCGAGTTCTATTTAATTAGCTAAATGACATATTATGGCGGTTAGTCCTGTTGGTATAGAATATAGGGTATGCTCGTGGGAAGGTTTGGGGCTTATTGAAAGGATAAAAAGGGCTACATGTCTCTATCACTTTGGAACTGTTGTAGGTGCTCTAGAAAGGCAATTACGGGGTAATGGTAACTATCAATGGAGGTGGTTCTATAACATTGTATATCGCTAGCTAGAATGAAAGTATAAGATGCATCAGAATCGTTGCCTCCATTAGTCTTTTGAAAACCAAATCTATCTATCTATAGATCGTGATCATGCGTTTTTTAAGCTATGCGCCAGATCGCTGGACGAGTATCTCTAGCAAAGAACCGTGTACTAGAGACGCATTATGTTCATAACAAAGTCATACTTTCTAGATGAGTAATCTAGAAGTTCTTGGTCTCGCCCTCCTTGAGCTTGCCGGCACCAACCAGCCTCTTAGCCTCCTCAGCGTAAACGTTCTTGACAGCAGCAGCATCCTTGCCAGCAGCAGTAAGACGCTCAGCCAAACCAGCAAGCTCCTCAGCATCGATCTTGCTCATGATAAGCTCAACGTCGGTCAGGACGGAGTCGACCTGAGCGGCGGAAGCCTCGCCATCAGCGAAGTAGTTGACGTCCTTGACGGAGCCCTTGACAACACGCTTGTTCTTCTTAGTAGCGTTCTTAGCAGCCTCTTTGGCCTTCTTGGCCTTCTCACGCTCAGCCTTAGCGGCCTCCTCGGCATCCTTCTTACGCTGCTCCTCTTCCAGACGAGCCTTCTCCTTCTCCTCAGCCAGACGCTTAGCCTCGGCTTCCTTCTCGAGACGCTTCTTGTCCTTGTCGGCACGAGCAGCCTTACGGAACTTCTTAATACGCTCATCCTGAGCAGCACAGTCGTCTACGAGCTTACGGAGACGAGCAGTGTCCTCAACCTTGCGCTTGCGGCGAGCGTTGGCGTTCTTCTTCTCGGTCTGACGCTTCTGGTCACGGCTTTCGCCATCATCGGGCACATCCTCATCAAGGTACTCAAAGGTACGCCAGCTGTCGAAGTTATACCAGAAGTTGTAGAAGTTGTCGACCTCCTCGAAGGTGCTGTTGTCGTCACCCAGCTTAGGAACAGGCTGGATCTTGGAGAAACGACCCTCGGACTCGAAGACACGGTTCCACAATTTGTAGAAGTTACCCTTGGCAGCCTCCTTCTTGGTGGGAGGCTCAACATCGGCAGCTTCATCGACGGAGTCGAACTGACGACGCTTGACGGGATCCGAGAGCACTTCGTGGGCCTTCTGGATACACTTGAAGAAGCTGTCGTTCTCATCACGGTCACCCAGGGCGGCCTTCTTGTCGGGGTGGTGACGGAGAACCTTCTTGCGGTGGGCACGCTTGATCTGCTCGGGGGTGGCGCGCCAACGGTACTTGGTAATACCAAGGACGGCGTAGTGATCTTGGCTCTGTGAAAGAGATGTTTAGAATCTTTGAAGCTGTAAAATGTACATCCGTAGCGAGGTCATCGGACATACCTTCCAGTCCTTAGCGTCCCGAGACAGCATCATGGGGTCTTCGTCCTCGGAGATTTCGCCATCATCCTCCTCCTCAGTCTTCTTGACGTTCTGCTGGGCCTGGATTCTCTCATCCTCAGAGAAAGTGCGGTGGTGACGCTTCTAGAGGGTTGTTAGCACCAATTCAATATATCAATATCCGATAGTGAGAACCGCAAGGAACTCAACTACCGAAACTGAATAAATGAGCACATACTCTACGAGCGTGGGCCAAGAAGTGAGGACCAACAGCCTCCAGGTTCCTCTGCGTAGCACCAGAGAGAGTGCCAACGGCCTTGAAGTTATTCTCGGCGGACCAGCCCTCAGAAAGGGCGGGCAAAGAGACGTTGACGACTTGAACAGTAGTCATTTTGTCTAAATCGAAGCAATTGTCTTGGATGTGCTTCGGGGAATTTAGGAGGGAAAGATACCCAAAGTTGTGTGCTAGCGATAAGAATGGGGGGCTGATGGCAGAAAATTGAAGAGCCCGATTTTTCTTTTTTTCTGCCCCGACTTCCCGCTTTCGGCACTTCCAATCAGACGGCGGGTGTTTCGGAGGTCATCGAAGGCCATGGATTGACTGACCATGTCAGGAACGAAGAATTATATTCTTTTTGCAACTTCTTATCCCGGATTCTGACATTATTTTCTCAGCTATCATATTCGTCTATAGAAAGCTTTCTTCTTTGTCACTTCAGTTGCCTATCCGTGTCGTCGCATCGAATCAATTCTTTTATCGCCAAAATCTTGAACCGATACTGTGATCGCCGCAAAGCCCGGAATTTGGCACGGAGAGAACAATATAAGACGATTAAAATCTTTCTTCAAACAACTTTCGACTCATACTATTGTATTATAACGAAATGACTGCCCCAGCCCTTTCAGCCCGCGGCGCTTACCGCCAGATTCTCCGCGCTACCCGCATTGCATTCCATGGTTAGTACTCTACTTTGTGATAACACTTCTTAAGAGCTAACCATTACTTTCACAGAGGACACTCGTGTACTCCTCGCCGCTCGTCAGGAGGTGCGCCGTCAGTTCGATGAACATAAGCGCGTAGGCATCGATACGCCCATGCAGATCAACCATGCTATTGAAGTGGCAAACATCTTAAAGCACAACATTGTGCAAGGAGTGAAAGAGGAGGGGAATGAAGCAGCGAAGTGGGGTAAGTTGTACCTGATTATTTGCACAGTACTTTGCATGCATTGGATATAGACAGAGGCTAAACCATGCGACTCTCTAGAACTCCGGATTCACGATGATATCGAGCGTGGTGACAATGATTCGATTAAGCATGCGGGCAAGGACATCAAGATTCATAAGGCTTGTTCCGCATAAGGTCGCTGTGTGAGAGCTTTCTACAAAGGATGGACATGATAACACCAGCATTTTTGCATTGTATTATAGTATACCCAACTTTTCTCTCCTTTGGCGTCTTCTGGGGTATTTCGATTGAAGATATAAATGTAACAAAAGAGAAATAGACACACATCACAACGCCTGCTTTAAACATACAAGTAATGCCTCCTGATTCCAATGAACAATATGCAGAGAAGTTATGGACATGTCAACGTGCAACTAATCACCAGACAAGCTGGTATATTGAACTTCACCACTACCTGGGGGCGGGGCGACAGCGTAACTCCGGGGCTTCTCCTGTTTGCCAAGATCTTCACCAGCAGCGGTGATCGATTTGTTACCTGAGCCCGAGGCTCTCGCTGTCGTCGCGGCCGAGCGACCTTCGCGGGCATACTTCATACGCTCATCACGGTCCATGTTATCCAATGGCTTAGGCTTTCCCCAACGAATCCGTAATGGACAGCCCTGAATGACAGCCTTGCCCTGGCAGTGCTTGGCGGCCGCCTCTGCACCTTCACGAGTAGCAAAGTTTATGAATGCGGAGTGGGCGCGATGAGAGCAGACCAACGACCGGAGCTGTCCAAACTGCGAGAAGAAGGTACGCAAAGTATGCTCGGGAAGGTCATCCTCAACACCAGTGGCAAAGAGGGACGTAACATTTGGATCCGCGGGCGGGAGAATATCCTCTTGTGAGGGCGGCAGTTGAGCCGTGCCGGGGAACGGACGGCCTCCACGGCCACCACGCATATTTCCGCGTCCTCTTCCTGGTAAGGGCGCACCCCTCCTGCTTTCGGTCGTACGGATAGGTCCAGGGCCATTGCCATAACGGCTATGTACCACCGGCGCGTTTGTTGACGGTTTCTCGCCCTCCTCATCCTGCGGAGCCTCGATTTGACGGGGCTTTCTGTAATAGGGTTCGCTGTTTGCGAGCCTCCTGAGAAGTTCACGCGCTTTCTCATCTGTTTTCTCATACGCTTCGACCGCACCGCGCCCTTCTTCGATTTCCTTCTCATGCTCCTGCGCATAGTATTCACGGTTGATTGTGCTTTCCGGGCCCGGGGCAACCATCTTCAGCGCAGCATCACGAACGACGATTGGCAGTCCAAATGACAAATCGAGCATGCAGCACTGGCAACAATTCTTCAGACGTGCGCAGGTTAAGCAGATCGCCGTTCTCTTAGTGCGTGCCGTGCGGTCCGCCTTCCAGCGGAATATGGTGAAAGGGCGAGTGCACTTTTTCCATCGGTTAGCATGACAGCATTTAAAGTGCTGTAGACGTATTCAAGACGCAGAACCAACTTACGATTTTGCATTCTGCGCCATGGTCCTCCTTCAGCATCTGCACGTACGGATTATCGGGCAGGCAAGTTTCGCACACGGAGGGAAAATCGGTTGTTTCCCATCCTGATCGGTTCAGGTCTTGTTTAATTTGCGGAGGAGGCATATTGATGTGCTATTATCCTAGCTCAAATGGTGCGGGGACCCAGAGCAAGGAGGATGTGATGTGTTGGTGGCGTTCAATGGCTGGCAAAAGAATGATGATTATCGATAGCAGCGTTTCTTCCAACTGTGGCTGGGCGGTGTGGCTAATGTGGCTAATGTGCTGACATAATGCTGGAATCCCACGTGATAGGTTCGTGGGCGCAGAGAAGTTGAAAAATTTCGAGGTAAATACGTATGTGGGGAGCTCTCCATCGATAAGAATCTATTATTGAAGATTAAGTGTCCAAGCGAACGTTGCTCAGGGTCCACCAGCAGCTTTCAACATCAAATCAATGTGGATTTTAATCTCCATCGACATTGAATACGCGGAATACGATGATTTCTCACATGCGACTGCTTGAAGGGGTTTAACGCCGTGTCGGAATAACATCCTTCCGGCTCCAGGGCCAGAACCCCGGATGGCTCCTTTCGGTCTAGTCTCCCGCAGCGTGGGTGGCTGGCCAGCTGATTGGCAGGGGAAGTGTCAAATCGTCGCAATTCCGCCTCCTTTCTTTCCGTCGATCTTGTTTGCTGTCTGAATTTATTTCGCTGCTCTATTTTTGACCTCTTCTTTTCTCATTCTTGTCTCTTTTTTCTCTGTTGTCTATCCGGCTACTTGGCTTCTTCCTTTCTTTCTTTGCTTCGTGTATAAATCACTTAGAAGTTTCCCGCTCCGTCGTTGCTGTCCTGCTGAATTCTTGTCTTCACCAATTCACCCCTTTTTTAAACCTTCAACACGCCTGAAGCCAATTGCTTTTAACCATGGCTCCCGCTACTTTGGAACAAGAGAACCATACTCGTGACGCTGAATTCAATCGCGTCCTCCATGGACAGTCGTCCCAGGCTCAAGGCGGCTTCGCTGCCATGCTTGGAGGAAAGGACGCCGCTGCGCAGAAGGCTGCGGTTGATGAATACTTCAAGCACTGGGACAACAAGGATGCCGCCGAAGAGACTGAGGAGATTCGCGCGGTATGGATTACTGGAATTGTACAACTTGTCTACATGTGGTCTAACTATCTCAACAGGCCCGCCGTGCGGAGTACGCTACCTTGACCAGACAGTATGTATTCCAAGCCCAGCTTCATACCACTGGTTACTCTTCTAACATCCTTCAGCTACTACAACCTTGCGACCGATTTGTATGAATACGGATGGGGTACCTCCTTCCATTTCTGCCGCTTTGCCCAGGGCGAGCCCTTCCACCAAGCCATTGCCCGCCATGAACACTATCTGGCCCACACCATGGGCATTAAGAGTGGTATGAAGGTCCTCGATGTCGGCTGCGGTGTTGGCGGTCCCGCGCGTGAGATCTGCAAATTTACCGATGCCAATGTGGTTGGATTCAACAACAATGATTACCAGATTCAACGTGCTACTCGCTATGCTGAGCGCGAGGGACTGAGCGACAAACTGAGCTTCGTTAAGGGTGACTTCATGCAAATGAGCTTCCCCGATAACTCATTCGACGCTGTCTATGCCATCGAAGCTACATGCCATGCTCCTGAGCTTGAGGGTGTGTATAAGGAGATTCTCCGTGTGCTGAAGCCCGGTGGTGTGTTCGGTGTTTATGAGTGGCTTATGACCGACGAGTATGATAACGATAATGCTGAGCACCGCAAGATCCGTCTGGGTATTGAGCAGGGAGATGGTATCTCCAACATGGTCAAGGTGTCTGAGGGTCTTCAGGCCTTCAAGAACGCCGGCTTCGAGGTACTTCACCATGAAGATCTGGCTGACCGTCCCGACGCTATCCCTTGGTACTACCCTCTCGCCGGATCGTTTAAGCACATGACCTCGCCTTGGGATTTCTTTACCATTGCCCGCATGACATGGTGGGGTCGTGGCATCGCCCATCGCTTCGTCGGCGCTTTGGAAACTGTTGGACTCGCCCCTAAGGGTACCCAGAAGACCGCCGACAGCTTGGCGTTGGCAGGAGACTGCCTCGTGGCGGGTGGTGAGAAGAAGCTCTTCACCCCCATGTACCTGATGGTTGGACGCAAGCCCGAGTAAATGCTTCTTAGAATTTGCATTATGTGAAACGTCTGTACAAATACCTCTTTCGTACCAGCATCCCACCTACAGACGTGGCGGAGTATTCCCTTTAATCCGGTGTCATGTATTCCATTGTTGACTTACTTTTCTTCGCCTTGTCATTATTATTACACACCGCCGTGGGACGCTATGTTTTTTTTTGTTTTCATCTCATGTGTTGTCCGAGTTGGCGGACATTCTACGAGTCACTGCTGGGAATGCGCCATGGTGATGATCTTTTCCATTTCGTATTTCCTTATTCTCATGCAAAATGTGTTTCAATAGCCGTTGGTCTGCCGCAACAAAATTCCTTATCATGTGTTGAATAGAGAGATCTTCATACACGGGCAAGTTTCGTCAAAAAATTACCAGTTCATAATAAAACCATGTTCATTACCCGTATCGAGAAACAGAGGATACTTTGCAAGCCATACGTTTTTTACCAACTTTTGCAACGGAGTTCGTCCTTGAAAGGCGCTTGGACCATGAGTTTGTAGATTTTCACTGTGCTTAATCCAGGTCGTGGTGTATGTATATACACCACTATTAATCCCCAGAGGTTGGAAACCCATGCGCCTATGGGAGTGATAGTTGCCAAACGATATTTAAAGAAGTTACTGACTTACTGACCTCCGAGTCGAGAGATTAACCTCAAACTAGCTTTATCAAGGTTACTTGCGCAGTGTGGTACTAGATCCACAGCTGTCCCACCAAAATATATATAGCAATGTATCTTGGTACAATTGTGCTAGAATTACTCCCCCCGCAACGTGTACATTCGACTATATCAACCTCTTCACTTTCCCACATTCTGTGCTAGTAGTACTCTTTATTTTGATTTTATCACAAAAACCTGATAGGATCTCACACATTATGTTAGGTACGGCCAGTACAAGCTCAAAGGTATCCGGAGCAAAGTAACCAAGAAAATAATTGTAACCACTATATCACCCCAAGAAAACGTTGTAAATATACTGTAGTTCTTGTATACCCGAACAGGTTTGAGTGTCTCGAGGTAAAGCGAGGTGTGTATTGGACTTGTGTTTGATAGGTTCATCGTGAAGTGTTCTCGGTAACCCGATGCAATCACCGATGGCCGGTAACAGTATCGGCATTCGGCCTTTGCAGTGGAGACTAACTTTAAACATTCTACGTATAGTACTTCAAAGTACAAAACTATTAGGGTTGTGGTCAATATCAGAATGTGCCTCCAGGATCCAGGTGCATTGTCCTGGGGTTAAATTTCCGCTAGAATCAAGACCAACGGTTGGGTCTTCATTACCATCCTCAATTTACCAGGTAATACCATATAATCTACAATTATAGCATGTAGAGCAAGTCAAATTGTCAAGGTTTCCAGTCCTTGGCTAGTCTATACGTATACGAGTTTCAAGGCTTTTCAAAACCATTGGATAATAATTTCTCGGTCATTCCTCGGAGATCCACCCGAATGTAACCGTCCGTAACCGTTATAACGCCGAAGTCGGTTGTGGAAGTATACCCAATTCTTTCCTAAATTTGATTCAACTTGAAAGAGAAACCTCGATCTTTAGCAATATATATATTCTGTAGTGTCTGTCATATTTAAAAACCTGGCTTGTCAATACACCCTTGCTTACGTTCTCTCCGCATTCCACCGTCCATAATGTCGCAGTCAGGGACAACACATCCGACCATCTCCCGCAGGGCACAGAGTGCCCTAGTAACAGGCTCAAAGAACCTGATGTGGGATGTGATGAACGACCTATGGTGTGAAAAGACAAATCAAAATGGATATGTGAATGTGGGTGTTGCGGAGAATGTCCTGATGCACGATCACCTGTTGAGTTTCATCAACCGGCAACTCGACCTGCCTGCCAAACTACTCACGTACAATGATGGACCTACTGGGTCAGGGAGAACAAAACGTGCTGTGTCCGCTTTTATCAACAGACACTTTCACCCCTTGCATGCGGTGGACTCCAGTCATCTTTTCATTACCAACGGCGTTTCGTCGGCAATCGAGCATGTGTCTTGGGCTATAACGGAACCTGGCGAGGCAATTCTTCTGGGAAGACCGTACTATGGGACGTTCATACCGGATATTTCACTGCGACCTGGAGCAACGGTTATCCCTGTGAGTTTTGATGACTGTGATCCGTTCAGCTTGGAGGCAGTCGAAAAGTATGAACAAGCACTGTTGAGTTTCCAGGAGACAACAGGACGGAAAGTAAAGGGGCTGGCACTCTGTCATCCTCACAATCCACTAGGACGATGCTACCCCAGACATGTGCTAGTGAAGTTGATGGAGCTCTGCCAGAAATATCAGATGCACTTCATTAGTGATGAAATATATGCGTTGTCCGTCTGGAAGAATACCGTCGACGAGAGTCCCAAGCCTGTGGACTTTGAATCTGCCCTCTCACTCGACTTGACAGGCATTATTGATCCCCAGCTTGTTCATATCCTTTGGGGCGTGAGCAAGGACTTTGGTGCCAATGGTCTCCGACTGGGCGTTATCATCTCACAAGCCAATCGTGATATGCTGGCTGCATTAAGGAATGTTGGTCTATATTCTTATGTATCGGGGGTGTCGGAGCACCTGGTGGCTCTCCTGCTCGAAGACGTCGATTTCACGGATGAATATATCCGGTTGAACCGCGAGAAGCTCTCAGAGAATTATGCATTCGTTGTGCAGCAGCTCAAGAGCAATGGGATTGAATATTCGACTGGAGCCAACGCTGCATTCTTCATTTGGATGAATCTAGGGAAGAAATATCGCGAACTCCACCCAAAGGTCAAGGACGATGAGGATGTTAGTGAAACGGTCATGGATCTCTTACTACAGAAGAAAGTCTTCTTAGCTAGCGGCTCTTTGTTTGGCTCGGAGCGTGGTGGATGGTATAGAATAGTCTTCTCGCAGCCTCAAGACTATCTGAGCGAGGCTGTACGAAGAATCATGGCCGCGCTCGAGGCTTAGAATGGATTTCCCCTCGAGATGGCGGCAACGTCGACCATAGCGAGCTGCCTCTTGAGCCAGTACCGGTTCTTCAAAGAAGAAGCTCAAGTTACTTTTCTGAAAAATAGAAAAGCAAGGCTAAATCAAGTTTACCAACTTTCCTTTTGCACTACGACCCTCTCTTGCGAAGAAGAGACAGATACAGTAGAGGATGCATTAGAGGTCTCATGAGCACCAGGGCCTTATAGAAACATTACGAAACGGTTATGTGAAGACGAATGAGCGTCTCTTCGTTTCTGTGTTCCGGGTGGGAGTAGTGATCCGAAAATCTGCAACACAATCTCAAGTTCACCCGGATCCGACATTCTCATAACCGTGAGATACTACTCTTGACGAAGTGACTGTGTATCAACCCAACTGCCACGCACGCTGAGGTTTCGTTGCTCTCTTTTCTATCTTTATTATGGCATAGCTTGACGATTGATACACTCTAAGCATCTTTCATCAAAGGATGTATGACTTTTATCGGTTGTTGTTCCACATCTGCTCCACCACCCTTATCGCGACGCCCCTCTGCGACTCGAAGTTGTGTGACTCGTGTTTTTCCGCCGGACATCGCGTATGGTAGCTGTGCCAGAGCGTACTCGATGCAAATGAGTGATATTATTCTCGTTCGAGTCTAAATACTTCAGTTACTATGCAGCGTTGCAACTACATGACGGCCCGAACGTTTCTGCGTGTCGATTCCTACGGATGCGGAAGGTGCCTAGAGAGGATACTGGACGCAACCAGTGAGACGTCATGTTCATTCCCAATATCAAATATAGATACCTGTCATGTGTGTCATTTTGTTGCGCATGTTTTATTTTCGCACAATTCTAGTTTTGGCTTTTTGCATTCCTAGCCGACGGTTGCACTTGAGAGGCTGCCATGCCCGCCACAACCCAAAGTGAAGTCACCGTCTCCTCTCGCGACTTGGAGAATGTTGTTGTTACTCGTCATGCGAATGAAAGTTTGGAATCGAAGGCTACTCCCAGCGAGTCAATGGTAGAGACGTCTGGGGTTAATGACGGCCAAAATGTACAAACGGCCACCAGCCGGAAGGAAAGATATGCTCTTTGGGCCGGGTACGTTTTGCTTCGTGCGGAAATCTGAGCGTCCCACTGACATGACAAGACTGGCTATTGTTATGCTTGTATAGTACGTTTAGCCGCCCTCTTTCACGGGGAAAAAATCCGTGACAGTCACTGGGTACGTTCCTTAACCTGTAGAAAACAAATTAACTCGAAAGTCAGTGATCTAGACATATCCACTCAGTACAACTACTTGACTTATGCAACGTCCGACCTTGGTCAGCTTTCGCGTCTCGCTATTATAACAACAGCCTCCAGTATTGTCTCGGCCGTTTGCAAGCTTCCAATGGCCAAAGTATCAGACATATTGGGTAGGGCGCCAGCATTTATTCTGACAATCATTATACTAACAGTATCCTATATCCTTTGTGGGGAATCAAGGAACCTGGCAGCCTTGGCAGCCGGCAAGTTATTGCACAGTATTGGTATAGCTGGGATTTCACTTCTTGCCACAGTGCTAGTATCTGACCTTACCAGCCGTCGATGGAGGGCTTTTGCGTATAATGCCATTTACGCACCTTATTTGGTCATCCCTTGGTTTGCAGCCTTTATTGTTGAAGCAGTTGTAGATGGCATAGGTTGGCGTTGGGGCATTTCCATGTTTGCAATCCTTATGCCGGTCTGCGGAGCTTCACTCGTCATACCAATGCTGGTCATACGACTGCGGGCGAAACGAGCTGGTCGATCAATCAGGGTAAAGATGACTCTCTATCAATTCTGCTCTCAGATTGATCTTGGCGGTGTTCTCCTCATCATGACTGGATTTGCAATGTTGTTGTTGCCCTTGAGCGTAGCAGCTGAAACACCAGCTCACTGGACAACACCATGGGTGAGCGCCGTATTGATACTCGGTTTAATTACCCTATGCTGTGTGTACCCATATGAGAAACGGGTTGCGAAGAGCCCAGTTGCACCAGCACGATATTTTCATATGCCAGGAGTAGTCATTGTCTTTGCGCTATCCTGCTTGGATGCTGCTGGAAAGACCTGTGCAGAGACATATCTACTTCCATGGTCACTTGTGGCTCGCCACCTTTCAGTTCGGAATGCGTCATTTTTAATGTATACTGCAGATGTCACACAAGGATTGGCTGGTATCGTCACGGGGTTAGCGATGTACTTGATGAAGTCTTATAAATGGATCGGTATCGCTGGATCTCTGGTTCGCCTTGCCGGTTATGGTGCAATGCTGCATATAAGGAGTAATACTAGCTCTTCAGCAGCGCTGTTCGCTACACAGGTAGTGCAAGGAATCGGCACCGGTGCTATTGAGACTGTGTTCATTATTGCTGCGCATGTCGCTGTTCCACACGCTGAAATGGCTCAAATCACATCTATAACCCTCATGGCGGGCCATCTAGGAAAGGGCATTGGGAGTGCAATAGCAGGGGGTATTTACACCAGTACGTTCCGAGGGCGGCTCCACGCCCGACTTAAGGATGGAAGCAACACAGCCAGGATTGAATCACTATACAACTCAGTTACGGGTGACTTACCAGCATGGGGAACGCCCGAGCGTTTGCTCGTCAGTCAGGCAGTAAGTTGAGACGCAAAGTCAGTACTCATATATTGCCGGTTGCTAATATTCGTGTGTAGTATTCTGATGTGATAGGGTTCGTTGTCTTAAACAATCGGATCTACATGACCCACTAACTCCGCTTAGATATATTTGCATCGCTGCCCTGGTGCTATCAGTCCCTGTATTTGTCCTGACCTTGTTTCTGCCTAACAGAAATCTTGAGTGCGTATTTCGTTCGTGAAGAATAGAGAAGGCAAACTTAACTGAGACACTATAGGGAGGACCCTCAAAGCCTCAGAACAAACACAACAGGCGACCAGGATGAACTTTCTACATCTATCGAGGCACAACAGTGTCGGGAAAGGAGCCAAGTGCCGAAGGCATAGATAACAATGATATCTATGCCTTGCCGGCAAAATGCGCGGCAGAATTCACTTATAAACCCCGGTGACAAGTCTGATATTTAGCCCAGCAATAGCTTACCAATAAGCCTTGGACTATCTAATTCCTATTTGCTATGTGTTATATATCTAATATGCAAGGGTTCCGCCCAAACGGCATAATACTTCATATTGCACAGCAATATCAAGGATGGCATTTCTCGAACACCAAGGTGTTATATTAACTTCCCGGAACAGCTGTAGGAACAAATGGCGCTATTGAAGGATCCGGCTGAACTGGATAGTCACTGGGTGGCTCTTTCATAGCCTGGAAGACTTCTGTCGCAAGCGAGTTCTCGTTCACGTATGCCAGTAGTGCCTCAAAGTCACGGCATACATGCTTGTTCATAAAGTCCGGGAAAGGTTGGTCCCAGCCTCCGACCCAATTAAATAGAATCACATCCACAGAGCCTTGACATTTGATAAATTGGGCCAGAATATCAATACAGTGAGTAATATGGGCCGTGTGCTGGGCATCTGGATTGTTACCGAATTCTGGGTAATAGTAGTGCTCATAGGAGATCTCCTTGCGCAGCATATCAAGACAGTGGAGGAGATGGAAGACTTCTGTTTGTGCAAGGTATGCATCAGGCCCATAGCCGAACTCATCGGGGACTCGGACTGCTAGGGCCGGGTCTTTGCCTAATTTGCGGACCTCTTGCGCTGAGATCAGGATCGGGAAGACTCCCGAGCTTATCCTGGACCACTCGGCATCGGCTTCATCGCCTTGGGGTATGCGCATAATAGAGGGCGGCTCGGAGTCATATAATGAGCCGTTCGTCGTTAGCACGACGCGCGGAATGTCAAATCTTTCTAGTATAGGCGCTGCAGTAGTGCCTTAGCCTGTGCTCTCCCGTTTGCAACACTTTTCGTGGGATTAGCTCACCATAATATGAGGTTGCTTTCCATTTGTCCTGATCACTGAGATGGTTGAGGCAGGCGCGGCTGGAGAATGGTGATAAGAGGAATAAGATTGAGGCACAGAAGATCAGGATGTTCAAACATATTATCCAAAGACTTAGCCAGTGAAGTCTCTTCCTTTCAGTACCAGGGCTGGACCAATAATTCTCTGACTTCGCTGGCAGAGAGTCAGTTAAGAGACCCCTCTCGGAATCTCTTTCGCTGTCCCCCTTGCAAAAACTACTCTCCCCATCGGTGGACGGCCTTGCTATCTCCTTGGGTTTGCAGTGTGACATGATATGTTTTTGCTTGATTGAAATATGCGAAGGATAGTCAAGAGACCAGTCTAAATGATATTTTATGAGCCTAACCCGGAGACTGTGAATCAGATGGCGGTTTCTTGTTTGTTTGTTCACCGCAACAGAAAGGGACCCAGTCAGCATTTGAGATTCCAACTTGCATATGCTAATGTTCGAATAGAGTAAGAAAAGAGTGGTAGGTGCCTTTGACAGAAGTGGATGCTGGTTGAATATATGTTTGGTATCGCATTAGACTTGTTATACGCGACCAAGTATCCACTGTATGTCAAAAATCAAGAAGTCCAGCTTCTGATGGCGTCCTCCCTTACGAATCCAGCATGCTGCATGAATCAAGGAGGGGTAATAGCAGTGTAATCGACCACACCGATGAATTCCTTGGGTATGATGTTTGTTATATGACGTTGTGGGCAGTGGTAGGAAAAAGCAAGCAAGGGAAGCGGCAAGTAAGGAGTGGTTTTCAGCTCGCCACCAGACCGTGCCATACTGTGACTACACTCCACCATGCTCTAGTTAGAAGCCTTGCATGACAGATATTTGTGAGTAAAGCCCAAGGTATAAAATTAGGCCCCCTCATGGGCAATATTGTCGTAAACATTGAAACATCTTTTGAACACAAGCCCCTACAAAACGCCACAACTACCCGGTCCGTCGTATCTCCACCAGTTGTACCCTATCGTGTCTGTCTCCAACCATGCAGTTCAAGATATTCACTGTGCTGCTCGCCATCGGTCTTCCACTGGCCATGGCATCCCCTCTTCGTAAGGGCTCGCTCTTGTTATTTCTGATCAATATATACTCACATGCGTTATGTAGCTAAGGAAGATGCCGAGGCTATTCCCTACTACCCTAAACGGAGCGAGGAAGCCGAAGCCATCCCCTATTACCCGAAGCGCAGCGAGGATGCTGAGGCCATTCCCTACTACCCTAAGCGGAGTGAGGATGCTGAGGCTATTCCTTACTACCCAAAGCGGAGTGA